CTCGTGGTACCCGCAAGATCCAAGATGGCTGCCGCTGTCGCGCAACTGTAAGCAAGCCCGCAATCGCGCCCCAGTCTACCCCCCAGCCCGACCACCAAGGCCCCTTACTGGCCCCACAGTTTTATCCCCAACTGATCTGTGGCACGAGCGCGGCACTGGCAGCCACGACGCCCACGGACCGAGAGGTGATCGGAAGCACAAGTAACAGCAGAGGGCTGAGGCTGGAAACACATTGAAAAAGAATGAATAAAATATTTAAAACCTATAAAAAGACAGGTTTAGGGGAAGCCAGGGAATAGTAAATAGTAAATGAAAGTTGAAAAACCAGCAATAGAAATTATCATTAAGAATCATAAACCTTAGGAGAAATAAATAATCTGACCTGTGACAGGCTGGAGCAGCAAAGAAAGAGGACGTGATGTGACTGTCAGGGCCTTTTATGTATCATCTGACTATTTTCTGATTGGTTGTTACTGTTTCTGATTGGTTGTTTTTGTTTCTGTGCTGCTGGAGATTTTCAGTAAAGAGAGATATGCAAATATGAAGCCGCCTGTCTTGTGGTAAAATTATATTTTCATCCCGAGAATTTATGCCCCTATTTATACATGACAAAACCTTACTGGCCTTAGCAACTGCAGATTGACATTGCATATTGCTGCCTAATTTGTTGTCTATAACAATTCCCAAATCCTTCTCGTGTGTGGTTATCCCTAATTTACCATTTAGTGTGTACATGTATATCCCTTGATCTCTCAATATACTTATACAATATACTGCTCAAAGATTGATATTGTTAATTGTGGCAAACCTAGCCACTTGGACTAAACAGGGACAATATGCCTTTTAAGGGTTGCCGGTATATGTTATGTATGTAACTGTTTGCATCTGCTGTATCCTGCCTGCTATATGATTTGTATTGGATCTGCCGAACGCAGATAGTCAGTTTCCATTTCGTTTCACAAACGGCACTTTTGCGAGCCGTTCGTGAACCGAATGAACTATCTGCCAATAGCCCACACACTAAGGGACGTGTGGCGCTTGTTAACCGATTGCAACAATGTTGCAATCAGTAATTAGAGGCTCTCCTAGGTGGCCGCCGTTCGACTACTGACCATGAGGCGGTCGGCCATCTTGGATCCTTTGTTCCCCAGCGGTGTTTGGTCGTCGAGCGCATGGAACTGAAAATGGCTACTCGACGGCGCGAACACTGCTGGGCTTCCAGAGCGTTCGGGAGTCCCGGGACGTTCGGTAATCTTGTTCATTTATATCAATCGGTATTTTTAAGTTGTATTATGAATAAGTGTTTTTCGTACGGCGTTCGGTTGATTTAGCTGGGATCTGAGCGGTATTCACACGAACAGTGTGCTCAGACCCCAGCTATCTACCGAACGTCCATTCGTTTAAATCTGTCAAGTATGTGAAAAGTTATAGATTTTAATGTGGATTTTCGGTTCTGCTGCACGGAGGGATAATCCACTTAACGGTACATTCCAGTGGGAGGATCCCTCTCGTGCAGCAGTGCCTGATGGGAGAAAAGCTCTGTACATTAAGTTTCCCATGTAGTCCACTCTGGGAATGCCCTTGGAATAGGACTCAGGAAACCCCTTGCATGGGGAATTGTATAAATTGTGTAGCTGTGAATAAAGACCTCAGTTGACTCCCAGCCTATGTGTCGTCTAGTTCTTGGGAAGGAAGGGTTACTGCAGTGCTACTTGGATTATTGCATGCTGATTCCTCTGGATTATCCTTTGTTCTTCCTGTTACCCAGCGGAGATATTGTGGATTATACTGCCTCTCTGCTACATTAATGAATGTCTAAGACCAGAAGAGATAGGATGTGGTTCCGTTTCTGACTGTATAAGAATCTTCTATTATGAAGAGGGTCACAGGAGCAGACTTGCAATCAGAATGTACAGCGTGGGAGAGTCCAGGACCCCATATTCTCCGTAAACCTACATTGCAATAGCTGTCCCCACCCATCCCCCTCCTTCTGCGCAGGTCCAGATGGAAGTTGTTTCCCAGACAGATCTGTCGAGTGACACAATGCAAATTGCATTTTGAAAGCCGTCCAAATTTCCGATTTATGTTCTTGGCTTTGTTGCAATTAACTGTCTGTAATACCTGACATGAGATATTTTTCAATATATTAAAGTGGCTTTGGGTCGCCTCAGTCTGTAAGGTCCTAATGGGTCGTATTCGCAGGAGAAGGACAATATTGGACAATCTCATGGCCGAAATCATCTAGTCGTGCAGGACTCAGATTCTAAAAATAAGAACAAGCCTAAAATAGGTGATTTGTTTTACTTGACTGTTCCCAGGAAAATATGATGAAGAACAGCTCGAAGTGGATACATTCACACATCAGATGCAAGTGTCAAACTTTTTGGAACTAAAAGAAGCATTGCCCCATACTTAACCCTTTCAGTCCATTCTCATAGCTCTAGGGCTGACAGTGTAACAGACATAGGGATGGCATTCTTGGCTAAATTATATAAAATGTGAATAAAATAATGTAAGTGAAGAATCCCCACAGAAAACAAAATTATAAACCGAAAAATAGCAAAATTGGATGTCCTGCTGGGGCCAGTGAGAAACCAGACTCTCTTTCCAAATAGTGACTGTTCTGGGGCCACCATCTTGTTCTAATTTACGCCATGAATCATTAACTTATTACAGACATTTTGATGCTGAATGAAGTCATCAGAAGGCAACTAATCTGTCTTTTGGCTTTTTGACAAATTATTTAAAGGTCTCATATAATTTGTACTAAATTCAATATTTCCAAAAATGGCCAGTGGGAAAATAAAAAATATAAATCATATAAAAGTACAACCTTTTCCATTTTATTTAGAACAGTAGAGATTTAAAGCCACTCTAAATTTAAAACTGAAATCTGCTAACCTCCCACAAACTCCAGGGACCACACGACTCCATCCTCCAAGAACCACCAAACTATCCACTATACTTCGGGCTCTAGAAACAACCAAGTTATCCACCAGCCTCCTACCGCCAAGAACCACCAAACTATCCACAATACTTCGGACTCTAGAAACAACCATTATCCATCAGCCTCCTACCACCAAGAACCACCAAACTATACACCAGCCACCAGCCTCCAAGAACCAGTAAACTATTCACCAGCTTCCAGCCTCTAGAAACAACCAAGCTATCCTCCTGCTTCTAGAAACAACCAAACTATCCAGCAGCCTCCTGCCTCCAAGACCCACATAACTATTTACCAGATTTCAGCCTCTAAAACCCATCACACTATTCAGCAGACTCCATGAACCACCAGACTCCAGCCTCCACGACCCACATAACTATTTACCAGGGTCCAGCCTCCAAGAACCACCAGCCTCTAAAACCCATAACACTGTTCAGCAGACTATAGCCTCCAAGAACCACATAACTATATCCTCTGACAAACTACAGGAACAGCCAAACTCCAGTCTCCAACAAACGCCAACCTCGCATCTAGCAATCTAAAGGAGCCTGTGAACTCAAGCCTCCAGCAACTGGCAAACTATAGAATCTGAAAAACTCCAGGCTCCAGCAACCACCAAATTATGGCCTGTTTAAAACTCCAAGAACCCCCACACTCAAGTCTCTGGAGAACCCAAGGAATCATCCAACTTCAGCCTCCAGGAACTGCCATAATTTGGTGGTTGCTGGACCGCCTGGCACCCCGACCTGGTACCTCCATCAATCACTGCTTCCTAGTAATCCTTAAGTACTTTAAGCACCGTACTGGAACACCATAACCACTGTAAACCCCACAAACTGCCGCAGCTTGGTTGGAGTCTCACTGTCCTCCACCCACCCTGGACCCAAGTGCAGGATCCAGCTTCCAGTGGGTAGACCTCTCCTACTCCAGAGAGCGAAACTGGCTGCTCTTACAAGAGCAATCGTTGTGATCCAAGGGAGTATAGTGATTATAGCAATCCCTAGAGTGAATATAGCTTTCCAATCCCCAAAACATGAGCCTAGACTTCATGAAGGGTAAAACGAAATCAGTTTAATGGCATCCACAACTGGCCTTATATGCAGGCACTCCCATGTGGGCCTGAGAGTAAACTACAGTAAAAACATATACACGATTACATTGGCTCTCAGGTCCAGGACACTCCCATACAAAATAGGTCCATCCTACCTTAAAACACAAAACCCCTACAACCCTTGATAGCTCTGATCTGGGTGACCAACATGTCCAAAAAACACCCAGATCGGTTCAGTGGTTCAGGCGGTTCATGGTCCCATGCCTAAAACAGTTCCAGAGAATCAGGGCTTGCGGTCAGTCTAGTTTGGCAGTTTAAAAACCGAACAAACTACCAAACATAGTCAATAGTCTTACCCTTGAGCTTGTTCCTTTTGTTCGTGGGAACGTTTCCACCAAACAACGCGTTTCTAAGTATTGTAGAACCAAACCCAGGCGATGATGGAAGTCCAGCAGTGTTCGGGAGTTTCAGTGTCTGATTTCAGTTCCATAAGATTCATGCCCAAACACCGCTGCCTGCGTTCATGCGAACAATTAGAACACTGCGGTGGAAATACTGGTAAAATATTTTATAAATAAAAATAAATAAATAAATTGCTATAAAGTAGCAATTAGGCTTAACAAGTCTCTGGTTCGTACGGCTGTTCTGTTCTCAAACCAGATATAAAATCCCATGAACCAAGTCTGTTCACAAGTCTGTTTTTTAAACGGCCCATAGTCTTTCGGTAAGAGGCTGGCCAGCAGGCCCCTCCAAGAACACGTGACGAGGCTCCGTTCGTCACACCAAGCTATAGCAAAACTCCTGGAACAACCAAACTCTAGTGTCCAGCAATCTACAGTAACTGCCAAATTCCAGCATCCAGAAACTGCCAAAGCATAGTCTCTAGCAAACACCATGAAATAACAATTACGAGCTTCCAGCAAACTCCAGGAGCTCCAGCAAAATCCAACCATCAGCAGAGCTCTGTCCAACAAAAACTCCCCGAAATATCCCTTCACTGTTACACCACAAACTGCCAAACTACTTAGCAACACCACATCATCAGACACACCACTTACTACCACACCACCTGCTTAGCCACACCATCTACCACCACATCACCTCCTTAGCCACACCACCTCCTTAGCCACACCATCTACTACCACACCACCTCCTTAGCCACACCATCTACTACCACACTACCTGCTTAGCCACACCAAAACTGCCATACCATCTACTACCACACTACCTGCTTAGCCACACCAAAACTGCCACACCACCTCCTTAGCCACACTATCTACTACCACACCACCTCCTTAGCCACACCAGAAACTGCCACACCACCTCCTTAGCCACACCAGAAACTGCCACACCACCTCCTTAGCCATACAACCCCCTTAAGCATACCACACACTTAGCCACCCCACATCCTTAGCCACACCAACTCTTTAGTCACCACCCACTGCCTCCTCAGCCACACCAACCACTGCCATACCACCTCCTCAGCCACACCATAACATCAAAAACATACTTACATAGTTACATAGCTGAAAAGAGACTTGCGTCCATCAAGTTCAGCCTTCCTCACATTTGTTTTTGCTGTTGATCCAAACAAAAAAGGCAAAAAAACTCATTGTTGACCCGAGAATGGTAGTCAGAAATCTCCTGGGATCAAGAAGCTATTAAACCACAAATTTAAAAATTATATCCATGAATATTGTGTTTTTACAAGTAGCTATCCAGTTGCTGTTTGAACATCTGAACAGACTCTGATAAAACCACTTCTTGAGGCAGAGTATTCCATATCCTTATTGTTCTTATGGTAAAAAAACATTTCCTTTTATGTGAGAAAGGCTGAACTTGATGGACACAGGCCTCCTTTCAGCCTATATAACTATGTAACACTTGGCCACATCACCTACTAGCCACACCACCTCCTTAGCCACACTATAGTGGTTATGGTGCCAGAAGTGCCCTTTAGTTCATTTCTGCAGGCCACTGGTTCCTGTATTTCCTTTTCTAGTATGGAAAGCTAGAGGCTCCTCCTAGGAGCTTTTGTAGGCTCTAGGAGGTGGTTATATGTGTGGCCAGCTATTAGTGAGACAGTAAGAAGTCAAACAATCATAAAACAATTTGAGTGCTTACTTTGGGGGGCTCCTGGTACCTGACCCACTACTGAATGCTGTAGATGTTGTGGTGCTTGGACTGTGTCTTTAATGTGACATTAAAGAGAATTGAATTTATGGAACAAATGTTGTATGAATAATTGCACTTACCCTATATTAGTTGTGACAGAACCCTCTGTCTGGTTATTGTGGTGGATTTGTCTGTTTCTGCCCCGTTCATGTAAATGGCTGGTTTCTATAGCCCAGCCATATGAATGACTGTTTTTCCCGAACAAAACTACCGAACGGACGGCCACCCAGGAGAAGTGTGCTGCTGGTTAACCTATTGATCCCAATTAGAACATTGTGGTTAACCGAAGACACTTCCCAATTAAACCGAATTCAGGGTGGTCGTCGTTCGTATGTCGACCACGAGGCAGCGGCCATTTTAAACCACACGAAAGCCCAGCGGTGTTCGGCTCTATTTTCATGGAACTAAAAACGGACACTTTTTCTGCCGAGCACCGCTGAAACAACGGGTCGCCTGGCTGCCTCAACGACAGCGTACGAACACCGGCCGTTCAGGAGTTTTAAAACACACGAAAGGACTTACCCCAGATAGCCGTCCCATGGAGTCAATCGCATACCGAAAGACTGTAAGAACTTTGACTCTATGGCGATTGAACTAAGTGTGTGGGATCTGAGCGCTATTCGCCAATAATATGCACTTAGATCCAGGCTATCTGGGGATATGTGATGCGAATGGGAAATGTTCAGTTATTTCAAAGTTATGTATTTTTATGTAGTTCTGGTATTTTATTTAAAATGGCGATTTGTCCTTGTCCTGGAGATAATTGAATTACTTCTCAATTATCTCTAGGGCAGAGGGGAGGAAACCATATTGCATTGTGGGAAAAGCTTGTTACTGTACGTCTGAAATGTCCCCATGTCCATCTGTAATTCCAGTCTCCCATTTGGTCCCCTAGGGGAGTGCCCACCAAGTGGGAGACCTGCATAAATACGGGCAGGTAGCCCACAGTAAAGCCAGATCCTGTTTGACCCTCAATGCGGAGCTTCTGTCTCGTTATTGGGGGGATTTCTTATTTGCGCTTAGAGACTGCTGATTGGAACCGAAAGCCGCTTGGTGGATATCATTGTTCGGCGGCTAGCAGCAGTTCGTGGATGTCCGTTCGGGAGTTTGGAGCCTTTCACAGATCCCGGTCGGGAGATTGCCGCTTCCCCTGATGGTGGTTCGTATACTACAGTCTATGCGAACGGAGTTATTGGTCTTGCGAAAGGGGAAGGCTAACTAAACGGCGGTTTCTCTTAAAGACACCAGGGGTGTCTTAACATTAGTGTCTAGAGGAATGTCCATTTAATACAGTGAAATATAGATTTTTGGCAAGACATGCTCTGTTTTTATGGCCATAAACCTGTATCCATCCAGCTAACCTTTATGTATGTCATCTGCTGTGTAATTTAACTCTTTAACTGCTGACAGAAAAAATAGCGCATTGTGAGGATTTGTTTTCTCTCCCGCCTGACAGTTAATGGATTAAAGCAACTCGTTCAGCCCACAGTGGCTCGCTGGCAGGGTTTAACATTTAGCAGGAGCCATGTTTTTAGTTACTGATAAAGTTATCAGTTCAAAATGCAGTAAAGGTCAGACTAGACTCCAACAACGGGCGCAAGAAAATACCCAACAACAAAAATGCTGAACACTAATTTCCAAAATATTTTACCAGGACAAACAAATACCATGTTATACCTGTTATAGGGCAAATACTGTATACAGTGCAGTTATAGATATATTGTTACACAAATAGATAAACATATACAGCACAGCCATAGATACATTGTTACACATATAATAAACACATACAGTTATAGATACATTGTTACACATACAGCACAGTTATAGATACATTGTAGCGGAGTAGTAGTATTATCCACGGTATCTCCGCTGGTAGACAGAATCAAGCAGGCAAAATCCCGGTAGCGTAGTTACAATCCCTTCCTCCCAAGAACTAGACAACACATAGCTTGGAGGTCAACTGAGGTTTTATTTTCAGGTCATGGTATTTATGTGATTCCCCATGCAAGGGGTTTCCCTACTGACATTCCAGGGGTGGTACAGTAGGGGACTACATGGGGAACTGAACAATACATGCATTTTTCCCACCATGCACTGCTGCACGAGAGGGATACTCCCACGAGAATATACCGTTAAGTGGTTTATCCCTCCATGCAGCAGAACTTACATTTCACATTAAAATACATATCTCCCATAATATTCCCTTCATTTAAACAAATGGACGTTCGGTAGAGAGCTGGGGTCTGAGCGCATAGTACGTGAGAATACCGCTCAGATCCCAGCCTAACTAACCAAACGCCGCACGAAACACACATGAAATTCAATTTGTGCTCAAAATACTGATTGACATCAGGGGAACAACCTCCCGAACGGCCGGGGCTCCCGAACGGCCTGGAAGTCCAGCGGGGTTCGCGCCGTCGAGTATCCAATTTTGGTTCCAGGCGCTCGATGACAAAACCCCGCTGGGCTAACAAAGGAACCAAGATGGCCGCCCGCCGCGTGGTCGGTAGTCGAACGACGGCCACCGTGAAACACACTTAATTACCGATTCCAACAATGTTGCAATCGGTTAATGGGTGCCACACGACCTCCTGTGTGTGGTCGTGCATTTGGTAAGTTATTCGTTTCACGAACCGTGTTTAACCCCTTAAGGACACATGACATGTGTGACATGTCATGATTCCCTTTTATTCCAGAAGTTTGGTCCTTAAGGGGTTAAACTGAATGCTGGGGTTTTCATACTGCCAGCATACGAATGCCCTCATTCGCCTGAAATGTAAATACAATTCTACTCTTGTCTCTACAGCTCTAGCAAGAATACAAACATACTTATACATTAATAGTCTCCAGTGGCTAGTTTTGCCACATACATTGTTACACATATAATAGACACATACAGTATAGTTATAGATACATTGTTACACATATAATAGAGATATACAGCACAGTTATAGATACATTGTTACTGATATAATAGAGATATACAGCACAGTTATAGATACATTGTTACACATATAATAGACACATACAATGCAGTTATAGATACATTGTTACAGATATAATAGACACATACAGTACAGTTATAGATACAGTGTTACACATAATAGACACAGTACAGTAATAGATACATTGTTACACATATAATAGAGATCTACAGTACAGTTATAGATAGTGTTACACATAATAGACACAGTACAGTTATAGATACATTGTTACACATATAATAGACACATACAGCACATTTATAGATACATTGTTACACATATAATAGACGCATACAGCACAGTTATAGATACATTGTTACACATATAATTGACACATACAGTACAGTAATAGATACATTGTTACACATATAATAGACACATACAGTACAGTTATAGATACATTGTTACACATATAATAATAGTACCATAACAATATAACATGGGACGATATGTCCTATTATTTACACTTTCTTTAACTGGGTGCAAGCTCGGGTAGGCACTCCCCTAGGTACCATAGAATGGCACAAATAAAAATAAATCAGCTGTTCAATATAACTATTATAAAAATAGCCATTACTTTATTTCACAATATAAATTAAATAACACACACACACACCAAAGACAAAGACAGTGGATGCCTTTCTCGATGGAATCTGGTATCTCCTCTTACCTGGACGTGTATATCCTATACGTGTATATCCTATACGTCAGCAGATGGCCATCAGACAGAATGTTTCTAATGCAGAAATGTTCTCCATGGAAGTCTGTGCATGTGCATTACACCGCGTCGCACTAGACAGGGCCATTTTGAATGCTGGCACATTTCTACATTATATTCTAATTCTCACGGTATAACATCCCTATCAACATCAGAACCAGAACAAGTCAAACCAGGGTGTAGAAACATAGTGAATATCCCAACACCTAATCGTTCAAACCATATATAATATCTGCGAAACTCATAAACCATTTAAAGGATACAACACCAAGTGATACATATTACTTTAATAGAATAATTAAAAACATAGCGAAAAAATGGTTTATATCTGGCTGTATATCTTAGTACATACAAAAAA